GGATTTGGGGGAAGCATCATCCAGCTGATGCTTTACACTCCTCCCTGGCAGATGCTGGTGGTGGAGCACAGGGCACACAGGGAATCAGTGTCACAGATTGAGAAATACCTTGGTACTTTCTAGGAAATGCTGCTTATTTAGTTATAATTTTGGCTGTCGGTGCTGGCTCTCTGAGGAGCCCGGAGCCGGTGAGAATGGAGGGCGCTTGCTTTTGCTTGTTTAAAAATAATCAAACAGTCGAGGCTTGTAAAATCAGAGCTGTCTGCTGCTAAGCTGGCTGCCCAGAGCCTTTCCCTCCCCATTGCAAAGCACTTTTGGGTTGGTTTAAAGTGTTTTCAGTCACGCTGCTTCCTTGCCTTATTTCCCCCTTGGAGCTCGGTGGGTGAATTACACATTTCTAATAAACCATGGCTTAATATATTATTTCTTACCTTTCTTTTTTTTATTATGTTTTTTTTTTTAATAAGCCAAGCTGCTTCCTCCCGGCATCACCTGGAACAACAGGAGCTCAGTTCCCACACAGCTTCTGCTCCAGGATATCTCCCGACACACGTGGGCTCCCCTGGCCAAGGGCTTGCTGTTTCTGTGTTATTTCATTTTCACTGTTTTTTGAAAAAGAGGGTTAAAGAGCATGCTGGGGTGGGGGGCTTGGCTCCAGCATTTCCTCCAGGATTCGGTGATGCCCCTCCGGCAGCGCTGGGGCTTCCTGCTGGCCGCTGCGGTGTTTCCTGCCTCCCTGTTTGGATCACCAGTGCTGGGTGCCCCCCAGTCCCTCACGGATGCATGCATGCCAGTTTTGTGCTGAAAAACTGCTAGGACTGCCCTGCACCCAGGGAAGGGATGGATGTGTTAAGAGGATGCTGCAATTGCTGCTGCTTCCCAAAGGGCTTTGCATTTTATTTAAAAAAAACCCAAACTATAAAATAACCTGAGGATGCACAGAGGGAGATTTATTCAAGTGCCCCCCAGTCCCTCACGGATGCATGCATGCCAGTTTTGTGCTGAAAAACTGCTAGGACTGCCCTGCACCCAGGGAAGGGATGGATGTGTTAAGAGGATGCTGCAATTGCTGCTGCTTCCCAAAGGGCTTTGCATTTTATTTAAAAAAAACCCAAACTATAAAATAACCTGAGGATGCACAGAGGGAGATTTATTCAATTTCCTATTCCTCCTCACATCGTGGCCGCCGGGGCAGATGCATCCTGCAGCTGCAGCCTGGCTGCCCCCCACTATATTTAGTCCATTGTTTGCTCCAGCTTTGAGTCCTTGCCAGGTCCCTGGGCGCGGGAATAACCCCTGTGCTGGGGGAAAGGAGCGGCTCGGGGAGGTGGGAGGCTGAGCAGGGAACATGATCGTGACTTATGTGTGAGAGGCCACAGAGCCCATGCATCGTCTCACAGGATGCTCAAGCAGCATCCCAATGCCATTTTCAGCCCCTCCAGCATTCCCCATCCACGCTGGGTTCAGTGGGGCTGGCTGTGCTGGGAGAGGGTCTGCAGGGGAAGGGAAGCATCTATACGTTGCCTGCCTGGAGGCTCCACTTTCTCATTAGGCAAAATTAACCACCGGCTGCTGGAGCTTTGAATTTAGGCAAAACACCTGGAGAAGAACAGTGCTGGTTTGTTTGAGTGGGATGCCCTCTTGCAGGGTGTCGGTCTTTTTAGTGGCTGGGGAGAAAATGGGCTCTTTGTTAGCGAGCCGTGGCCACGATTTATCTCAGGCTTGGCTTTTAGGTCTGTGAGATGAGGGTGGCGAGTGCCAGCGAGGGGATGAGCTGGCTGGGTGAGTGTTTCAGGGGTTTGTCCCTGCACCCCTTGCCCTGGGAAGAAGAGGCAAGACAGGAGGTGAGGATGCAGTGGAGGGGTTTTTGTCTCTGCATCCTCTCTCTCTCTCCCCTAGAAATACCTCTAAATACAGTGTTGTGCAAGGGAGGGGATGCTGAAAACCAGCTTGCCCTGCCTGACAGCTAACACCATCATAAAATCCATGCGAGTCGCATCTGAGCCCCCTAACTTCTCATAGTGGCAGGGAAACACAGCAAAGCCCCACCAGCTCAGGTGATTTTTTTTGAGAATAACTCAGATCTTAACGTGCCAGGCTGAGGTATCAGATGCAGTAGGGTACTTTTAAATATAGGTAAAACAATAAAACTACTATTTTTCTTAAGGGTAACTTGCCTGCCTAAGCACCTACTTAGTGTTTGCTAACTGTGCTCAACTGTTAGAGGAAAAAACTCTGATACTTGGGCTAATCCAGAGACCTTTGGTAGGCTGGTCCCTGGGTTCCTGCCTGCCTTGGCTGGCCTGTCATGGTGGCTCCATTGCACCTCTTCTCGTTGCAGCCACCAGCGATATTTGGGAGGGTTTTCAGGCAAGACCATTTTATCTGGTTTCCTGAGATAGGATTTTGCTTCCCAACTTGTCCCATTTTGTGTCCCAGCTTGCAGGTTGGGCACTGGGAGGGTGTAAGCCTTGCCATCGGATGCAGCAGTACCAGTACACAGCTGCTCCCGAATGGCTGACACCAGTGCTTCCCTCTTCCCCTGGCTTTTCAGAGCAGCTCCTGCGGTTGCCCAGAGCACCCATCTTGGGTAATTTCAGTACTTTTCTAGGAGATGCTTGCTTTTGCCTGCCCAACCAAAGAGGGTGGGGGAAAGGAGCTGAAATGTGATTTCCTCTCTCCATTAATTTTGTGGTTTGAAGAACCGTTTCCAAATTTGCCCAGCGTCTTTTATGTCTGTTGCTTGCCGGCGTGGTTTGTCAGGCCAAAAAAATATCCCGGGGGATTTACAGCGAAGGTGGGTGACTGCTGCGGGAGGACAAGGATGAAGGAAGTGCAGAAGCTGCATGCAGGTTTCGGCAGGAGTCTCCATCCCCTGCTGTAGAGATGCTGGAGCAAGCCCAGAGGGGTCGGTACAGCTCATCAGGCTGCGCTGGCTCCTTTTGAAAACATGCGCTGGTTCTGAGCAAAATGAGGAAAAAAGAAGGAAAAAAAGCATCCTGGCTGAACGCTCCCCAACTGCTCGCTGGCTGAGCTCTCCAGCGCCTTCTCTGAAACACTCAAAACCTTCCTATATGTGTGTGTATATATATATATATTTTGCTTTATTTTTACCCCAATGGTGTTTATGTGAAAGAAATGCATAAGGAGACTTAGATAAATGGCACTGACCCGAAACAGCTGGGTTTTTCCCCCCCCTACTTCTCTCTCATGTAAAAGAAACCAGGCTGCCTAATGGTGCAGAAAATTCGTGGTAGAGCAACAAGTTTTCTGTGGAGCAGGAAAGGAAGACGGGGAGGAGGGGAAAATCAGTGTAGAGACATGGATGTCTTGAAATAGCACATTTTCCGGAGGCTTTTTCCCCGCTTGAAGCATTTGCAGCTGCTGGGGGCATCACATTGCCTGGGATTGCAGTGAGGGACTGATCTGCAGCAGAGGCAGCTGCAAAAGCGTTTGTAGGGCTGGGTTAAAGCCCCCTCACCCTGGGTTTGCTAGAGCCATGCATCACCATCGGGCAGGTACTGTCCCCCTTTGGCTGCTGCCGGGGTTATTTCCCACGCAGCATCAGTGCGGAGGAAAATTTATTATTTAATAATTTAATTGTTTGTTTAATGATTTTTAAAGTTTATTTTTTTAATTTAAATTTTATTTATTTTTTTTTAATTCTATTGGGGACCATCTCAGTAGGAGTGGACAGAGTTGTGGTTTTTTGAGGGTTTTTTTTGATTGTTTTTTTTAAAACTGTTTTTGTCCAGGCTACCCCCTTGCCATCTTTTGCTTCATTTGGTCAGAAGGATGTGGCCCTGACTGGCGCAGACAGTCGGTGCATTGTCCTGGACCAGTTGAGTGTGGCAGGATGCTCCTGGCCACTGCCAGCTCCTCCCACCCTCCACCCCTTGGCTGGCCCTTCTGCTTTCATCCTCTTAGGGATGAGCTCCCTGGGGTTGTGGAGAGGTCTGCTTTTGGGGTTCCCCACCTGCCCTGGGGGAGAGCGTGCTCCTCCAGTATGGGAATAACTGGCTGCTTTAAAGGCAGCTTTTAGATTTGGTCATTAAGAGCTGGAAAAAAGCCCTCATCCTGCTTCCTCCAGGCTCCTGATGCCCCCAGTGCAATCGAGGAGGGGGGTTTCTTAGCACTGCAGGATTATTTATTGCTGGTTTGGGACGGAGGGGGCACCTTTCCCCTGTGCTGCCTCCCACAACTTCCGAGGCTGCAAAATCACGTGTGCGTAGGCACTGCCGAACCCATCCCCAGCTCCTCCTCTCCTTGCACTCGCATCAACACGCGTGTGTGCGTGTACACACATGCACAGCCTGGGCTGTGGCGTGACCTCTCTGAGCCTTGCTCGCTGCTCCAGGCGCACTGGGCAGCTCCTAAATCCTAAAATACTGCTTATTTAGTGAGGTTTACTTGGTGTACAAGTGTTTTCTGTACGGGGAGGGACCTCGGTGCTGGGAAAGCAGAGTATGAGGCCAAGGGCTGCTGGGTTCCTCTGCAGTACCATCTGCTGACTCAGCAGGTTTGGGGGGCCGAATCCAGAGTTTTGCATTTTCCACTCCCAGCACAGTCCCACTTTTGGCTGCTCCAGGTCTGGATCCTGCTGA